CCCCACGGCCCCCCCACCACTTCCGGGAGTGCTTTGCTGCCAGGTTTTTTCCTTCCGGGACCGTGTGGGTGTTGGTGTCTGCTGAAGTCTAAATTAAAAAAAAAAAAAAAAAAAAAAGAAAAAACCACAAACAAATATTTAAACGTTTTTTAGCAAAATAAAAATTTATTTTTATATTTAAGCTAAATTGCCTTTGAATTCCTTCAAGCTTGGTTCAGTGAGGTTGCCAGACCCCGCAGCGCTGTTGATAGTGTTTAGCTGTGCCGTTACAGCCCGGTGAGGAGCCGGCCCATGCCCCGGCTCTGCCCACAGGAGCTAGCTGTGCCAGGGAAAGGCAGCTACATCCTGCGGGCTCTGCCGCTGCATGCTCCTCCTGGCCTGTGACAGCATCTCCTTAATTTTAAAATGTGATGTATGTGGATGTGACTAAACCTTGTTTGTTTGTATTTTTTGTTCTTTCTCTGAGGTTGAGGAGCAGGAGCTCTTGCCTGTTATGGTGACGAGTGGTTTTCTTGTCTGCCAGGAACAAGGCGTCTCTCCCAGCAGGCGGAAGGGGGCAGGTGCTCAGGCTCTGGGCAGTGCAGAGGGGACACAGCCCCATCGTGAGCGGGGCAGGGCTGTGCGGGCAGGGGGATTTTCAGCCTTTCCCTGCTGGCAGGGCCAAGGGGGTGCAGTGGGCTATTGGAGCAGGGCAGGCCTGGGCAGTGGGAGCCAGCCCGAGCTGGCATATCCCTGGTGTTTGAGAAAGCGGATGAAAAGGGGTCAGCGCACATGAGGGCTGACCCTGGTGCTTCCTCCCCCTGCCCCGCGCAGGGGCCCAAGCCAGGAGTGCACCCGCTCCCCAGCCCTCGCGGTGGTGCGGGGCAGGACAGTGGTGCCAGGGCAAGGGAGCTGGGGTTTGGCCGGCTCAGCACCAGCAAGACCTGAGAGGGAGAGGAGCAGGGTTCAAGGTGAGGGCACTCCAGGGAGCGCTGGCTGTTGGTGCTGCCCCCCAAGTGGCTGCCCCATTTAGGTCTCATGTGCCCCCAGCCCTGGGAGGAGCCAGGCTTTGTCCCTTCCCTGCTGCACAGACCCTGCTGGGAGAGACCCTTGTACCTCGGCTGCCACATGTGGCCAGGGGGAGGCTGGGTTTTAACTGAAGACTTAGATCATTCCTGGTGTGGCTGATGAGGATTTTAGTGTGAATGTGCAATTTTTTTCCTTGCTTCTTATGTCCCTGGTTTAAAATAAAAAGACTGTGTTTATATCTGCCTTGCCTGTGTTTGATTCCTGGACCTGAGCAGGGCCAGCACTGCTGGTGCAGTACAGGGAACTGCTTGCCAACACCCTGGGGTTTGTGTGTCCTTGCTCCTCTGCCTCAAAGGCAGGTACATGGACAGGATTATTATTGCTATTCATTATTATTATTTCACTTCCCCCCCCCGCCTTTGCCTCTGCTATGAGCAGTGCTAATTTCAGGGCAAGACTGAAGACAGCTGGAAAAGACAAGGAAGAGAGAGAAACTAGTGTTTCATCCCTACAGTCAAAGGCTTTTCTGAAACCCCACACCAGGCTGGGGTAAAGAGCTGTAGGTGGGGGGAACATGGTAAAGTAACACCCCTAATCCAGCCGGAGCACGCCACCCCTGCAGGGTGCAGGAATGGGGGTTGTGCTGGACACCAGTGCTGGTTGCAGACTTCCCAGGTCTGGCTTTGGGGACAAACTGCTGGGGCTGGCTGCAAGGGCCAGCCCTGGGTGAGCAGTTCCCCCTCCCCGGCAGAGTGGAGCAGGGCATTACAGAATTCCACCACGGCTGCAGCTGGCACAACGCTTTACTTGTGTTCAGAGGCCCTGCTGTTGTTTGGGCAGCGGAGGAGCATTCCCTGCCAGCCCCCGCTGGGCACTGTGCCGTCCTAAAAACATTATTTCATTCCTTCACCCGCTGCTTTTTCCTCTTCCTCCTCTTGGGAGCTGCTCTCGGCTCCGTTCCCTCTCTATGCTGCAGGTTCTCCTCAGCTGCTGCAGGCAGGGAGCTGTGGACAAGAGCGAACAGCCTGAGCCATGTACCCGAGGCCCCGCTCAC